AGTGATTTTATTATCGAATATCGATTGAAAAAGAATATTGTAATATTTTAAGCTGTATTTATTATTTTAATATTTTAAAATATATTTTAAAAATAAAAATATAATTATATCAAATTCGTTTCATTTTATTAAAGTATATTTTAGGCTAGATATGCGAACCGATCCCTGGGCCCTGACCGTCTACAGAAAACTTGGACAATAACATGTATCATTTAAAATTTGATACACATATCACTTGTCATGGCTATAATATAATTAAATACAATCATAATGTCAAAATTATACATAAGTTTAAAATTATTTAGTAGTTTATCATGTCACTTTATTTTAATATATAAAGTAATATTTAAATATTTATTAATTATTAGATAATATTCTTTCCGTTTTTTTTTCATAGTCGTTTAAGGTTTTGCACGAGACTTAAAGAAATAATTGATATTTTAGTTTTTAAAAATATTTATTGCTTACTTTTCTATTTTACCTTTTATTTTGTTTTTTGCATTTTTGAGACTGTTGAAATGCAATCTACTCCATTAATTATTAATGCATTGATTATACGTGAACTGTAACCTACTGTATTTAATTATACCTGTCCATGAATTAATGATTATAGTTAAAGAGTCTTGTAAATAATTGTCTCTTTTTTATATTTTTTTATAGTATTTTGTTGAGAACATATTGCTTTTATAAATGCACATTAATTTTATATGGGTAGTTGGAGAAAAAATAAGTAGACATTAAAAATAAATACACACATTGTTCAGTAAACTTATATTAATTATCAAGGGTTTTGGAGAAAAAAAATTAATAAGTCATTGATTTTAGTAAAATGACAATGAAAAAAAATAACAAATTCTGACAAAATAACTATGAAAAAAAAACGAAGGGAGTATACTTAAAAGTTTGAATTATTTAAAATTTAATATACATAATCATGAATATAATATTATTAAATATAATAGTTGAGTAGATTAAATTTATATTATTATATAAAAAAATTATTTTTAAAAGACAACTTGTGTATGACCAGTTTTTCTGTGCCTTTTGAATTATTTTATTCTTTGATAATTACGTTACTAGTCATTACTATGAATTATGAAGTAGCTACCTGTATTTCAGTTGATTTATGGCAAGAAAATTGGTATTATTAATAGAACCTTTTCTCTTAATTACAATTTTTTAGCTCCACAAAATATAAATTATTCCGTATGAATGGCTTGAACTTCGGACTTGTAAATGCTCCACAGCTCCGGAGTATAACAAGAGGGACGAAATTACCAACCAGAGAAACAAGACAGGTTGTTGGCATTGCCTTAAAACCTGAGCTTTATGAATGTGCCCCTTGTTTCGACAAACACATGCCAACCAAGAATCATGAGGAGTGCATGAGCGACTTACATACACTCTCTTGGGTCTCATACAATTTGGTTAGTAGATGGTAAGAGTACAAAGCAGGGATGTGGAAAAAAAAAATCGATCTAAAATTAAATGAAACCGGACCATAAAATATGAATTTTCAAAAAAGAAAAATAAACCAAACTACTATGTAAAAATGGTTCGCTTAACCGTACATTTTTACAAAGCGGTATGATTTAATTCTTTATGTAAAATGAATAATTGAACTATACAAACTTAATTATTATTTGAAAGACTAAATAACTTTTGAAATGAAAAACAATTTGCTTTACTTGTGCCCGTTACCGTTAAAATGTCCTTTGAAAGCGGGGTAGATATTCAATCTTCTTAGCAAGGGAATTAAAAAAAAAAAAAAATTCTTTCTCTCTACCTATATGAAGCTTGTAGCTTTCCATATGCTTGTCTAGTGGGGAAACAAAACAAGAGTGGGGGCTCTTGAAGTTGGGTGCGGTTGAAGAGTCTTTCTCTTTATTTGTGCTAAAATATAGTATATAAAATATAAAAGTTTAGGGTGATTGCATTTAGGTCCAACAAGAGTACAAGACCCAAGACAAGAGCATATATGCACCCACCGCCTTCGCTCTCAAACATAACAGAATTCTAGTGAAGTGGACGCGAAGAAACGAAGCTTCCAATCTTCATAACATATATCTCAACCATCCAATCCTAGTACTTATAAACAATTCCTCTCTCTCTTTCTCTCATATTCACTATATATATTGTTTGCTTTGAAAATAACTAGACCATTTGGTTCATGAATATGGAAGGTGCAAGTGTGATGGTGGTGAGAAAGGCAGAGATAGACACAAGGGCGCCATTCCGCTCCGTCAAAGAGGCTGTCTCGTTGTTTGGTGACAAAGTTTTGGCCGGCCAGGTTTATGCAACTGCCAATAACCTCAAAAAGGTTCTACTCCGACGCATCACTTCATTATCAAATAATTACTTCGATATATATTGCCACCAAATTATGAAAGCCCTCTTGTTTTATTTTTACTTTTTCACTCATTAATTCATTAAATCTTTTTTAGATTATCGTTATTCTAGTCTCACCGTTCACAATGAATGTAGTTTAGGATTTTTATACATATCAACAACAACGATAAATATATTATTTTTTAATATAATTTTATTAAAATAGTCATATTCTTTTAATAAATATGTTATTTTTAATCGTAGTGATTGAATAATTTATATATAAAAAATCTTAAAAAAATTAATATTACATTAAAAAACAAGAATTTTCTAGTCTTTTAAAATATTTTCAAATATGAAAATCACAATTAATTCCTGACATAGGATGGAGTAAATATATTTTAACAAAATTTCAGACAAAATTCAGAGTATTATATATATATATATATATATCTTCATTTGGTTGCATCGACATCGTTGGCCTGTACATTGTTTCTAGTGAGTGTGTTGACTAGCATAGTCGTCCCGTAGCATCATCGAGGCATTAACATTAAGAATTTTCTAGTCTTTTAAAATATTTTCAAATATGAAAATCACAATTAATTCCTGACATAGGATGGAGTAAATATATTTTAACAAAATTTCAGACAAAATTCAGAGTATTATATATATATATATATATATTTCATAATAAATTCTCTCTCACTTAATATGCTCCCTATATATATATATATATTGTGAGCTTACTAAACCATACATTTTTTTTAAGTAAATGGTCATTTTAGGTTTGAAGGTATTATCGTGTAAATTTCTAAAACTAAGAGAACATCAAATAAGTATTAAAAATATAAAATGAATGATATAAAATTAAAACATTACATGACTAATAATGTGATGATGATATATATATTCTTGTTTACCAATATGACATTAAATTCTAATATTTAATAATGTATTTAACATTTTACAGATTTATTATATTTAATTGTTTTAGTTTCAAGAACTACTATATGAAAATCTTTTAAATGATTAAAATGAGTTTATTTATTTTATTTAAGTTAAACATACACTTTAATTCTCATACATATGACAAATTATCAATTTAGTTCTTACACATAAAAATATTAAATTAGTATCTATACATATATTATTGATTTAGCCCCTATCATTAATCTCTCTAAATTTTTAATTTAATTTTTATATATGTAAGACATTCTTAATTTGATCCCTTTATTCATTATATATTCTTAAATGAAACTAAATTAAAAATATTTAACATATGTAAGGACTAAATTAAGAACGGATCACTATATTTATAAAGATCAAATTAAAAATGTTTAAGAAAGTTAACATTTAAATATGATGATAGGAACTAACTAGTAGTAATTGTATGCATAGAAACTAATTTAATATTTTTTTTTACATATAAAGATCAAATTAAGAATAAAAAGCAGACATATAGGCAGTAAATTATATGTTTAATCTTTTATTTATTTCATTGCTAACCGAACCATAAGGTGCTACAATGTTATGCTTGCTTGTAACAGGGTGCTAACTAGAAGTGGTTACTCAGCTGGAGACTGTTTCATGTGCTTTCTTGTATTTAAGCGTCTAGCTTTCTTAATCGTATCATAGAATAAAGGCAGTGAAAAACAATATTAATTTATGCCTTCACATTTTGCTTTTGCAGTACCATACTTTAATTACAATCTATTCATTGTACATCTCAAGCTTTCTGTGAAATGTTGAAATAGTATTTGTGTGAATTATACTCTTGGTTAGAATTAGTATTAAACTGTTCCACAATCCACATAGATGGAAAATTGTTAGGTTAATTAATTACTTGTTATGTGCATGCGAATGCATTTACATAGATGCAGAGTGGAGAAACTGAAAATGGCGTTGAGTATTCGAGAATAGGAAACGTAGAAGCTGAGCTAGAGGAGACGCGGGAAAACCTGGAGAGGGCGAAGGAAGAAAGCATGGTGATGGCGCATTGTCTGTCTTCTCTGCAGGAAGAGCTTGAACGAACAAAGCAAGAGCTCCAACAGCTGAAGCAACGGGAAACGGAGAAAGACGCGGTGGAGTCGGAAATCGAGGACGTGAAGTTTGTGGAGAACTTAACCACGTTCCAAGGGAAAAGCTCGAGACTCGAGGATGAAAAGATGGATTACTTCCAAAAGAAAAGGTACGTGACGTTCGCGAAATCGCCGTCTGTGTCTCATCAGGTGATGCTGCCGCAACACGGGGTTGAAAAGTTGGAAAGGCACCCTTCTCTCAGGAACAAGAAGAAGAACAAGTCCTTCATTCCCTTCATCGGAGCCATTTTCTCAAGGAAAAAGGCTACCCAATAATTTCCATCACTCCTGCTAAGTAACCTGCTTACAACTACAGTAATTAATTACTACAATAATTCCCAGCATTTTGTTTTAGAGTTTCTTTTTTTTTTTTTTTTTTTTTTTGGTGTCGAAAAG